CACCTTAGTGCTGCAAAGACGTACTAGTTTATGTTTTTAAAAAACGTTGATTATAGTGTGCTGCCTTGTAATGTGTGGAACTGCATATTTCAGTTATTAAAGTTAGCAAGCAAGTCTGTCTGCTGAAAGTCAGTTCCGTGAGTAAACAATGACTCAGTGTGGACTGTATAATGTAGAAGTTATTAGTTACTGTTAGCAAATTTAAAAAAACTCAACTCACAGCGTTATACAAAGACGTATTTCAGAATGGAAAATAGTTTTCCTCCTACTTCTGTGCTTCCAGTTATACTGTTTCAGTGGAATTTAATTTTCTAAAAAGCTAAACAGATCACTATCTCCTTATTACACAACTGGAAATGGACTTATCCCGACATTTCAGCCACGAACAATTACCACAGTGAGAGCTGAATTTACTCTTTTCTGTTCTCAATTCTTCATTGTGGTTAAAGGTGATGCTTTGTTGGACAGGAATATCCTACTCAGACCAGGTACAGGCGTAACGAAAACAGAAGACTATAAAATCCTGAGCATATGGTAATGAAGAAAAGCATGCAGTTGTGAGCTCACCTCAACCCTCTGACAAATACGGGTCTCCAGTTGAATTATAGCTCCTTCAATAATCCTCTGCTTCATTAGTAAAATGGCCAATACATCTGATGATTGTCAGCTGGCACGAGGCACTGCAGATCACTCTAACTAATGAAATGCAACCCTAGACTCTAAGACACAAAGGTTTCCCTGAAGTCTTAAGATCTCCCAACGGCTGTTCTCCAGCTCTGAGTACATGCAGTCACAAAGATTGGGGCCACACATCCCTACGTTACCTTTTGCAGAGGTGAAATCTCTGGTCAGACATCAGAACTATAAGGAAAGACTCAAACATCCATGGTAAACTTTTACCAGAAAAGCATCTCAAAAAAAGTCAGTGACATCAGAATGTAAAGGTACAGCCCTTTAAAGCAAGGGCAAAGTTCATCTTGCATCCAGACATCAGGCTGAATGTCACTGTACCTGTTTTGTCTATGTACATCTTTTTGCATAGCAGCAATTTTAGAAAGCTCCTTTCTGGAGAAAAATGTGTTTAGAGAGGCAGGAATTAAGTGTTAGGGATGTCTGTTTTTCTTTTGTCATTCAAAAATCACCCAGTACCTGGCAAAAGTCAGAATACACTCTGACATAATATCCTTTTCTATTTCTGGCACCAACAATTATCCTGTATACTCAGTAACAAAACTGCAGTGACGGAAGGTTGTAACATTTCACAGCATTATGTCCTTACTGCCTAGAAGGAAAGCAGCAGAGCACCCCAAAGGCACTGCCAAATGCTAAAAATCTACGTCCATGTACTCAATTACAGGAAGGGTGGTGTCTGACCTGAACCAAGGTCAGTGTGCCAGTTAAAAGGCTGCAGTGTCACAGTGAAGAGCAGCTCACTGGTCATCACATGTGACCAAGCTCTTTCCTTAAGCTGCCAGGAAAAGCTATCCATGCATGCGTGAATGAACACATCAATTCTAAATACTAACCTTTGTTGTCTTCCAGTACAGGAATTTAATATAAGACAGACTATATGGAAGATCAAACAGAAAAGGTACTGGCCCTGTTGCTCCTTGCTGCATTGCATATTTAATTAAGGCAGGGCCAGGCTTTAAAGGATCCTTTCAGCTTTCCTCCCTACTATGCACTCCAATTGAACAGGACTCAGTTGCAACAAATTACTTAAGATTTGTCCACTCTATCTGAAACTTCGTTAGCATTTCACATGGACTTACTGCTTCTTACAGCTTTGTTAATGCTTTCCGGGAAGAGCTGCCCACCTACCTCACTAGTGCATCAACAAAGCATGAAGAATGCAAAAGACACAAAATACGTATATTTCCCAGAGAGAACATACAATCCAGAGGCACAGTAGACGTGGCTCCCTCGGGCAGAAAAAATATCTGTGTTTAATCTCACAGAAAGGCAACCCAAGCAAGCCTCATCCACTAGAAATAACGATAGAAGGTTAGATATGTGGTTCCTAATCAAAGTCAGGGATAGTAATCCTAGTCAAAACCAACCACATCACTCATGAGTTGCTTATAATGGGATGAGAGTCAAACACAGCAGAACCCCTGACAGAAGACAAATCCATGCTACGATTGCAGTCATTGGATGCCAGCACAAAGCACCGCTGCCTCCCCCAGTCCCAGCCATTTCTTCCTGCGTCACCACGTCCACGTGCTCACACAATGTGCTCAGCCAGGAAACTCCTCCACAGCGGTTCTTCCCACAGCAGTATTTTAACAATATACACATACACATTTATATTTATACATCTATATATGGCTCTTCAGCCTGTTTGAAAGGAGAAGTGGCTTAGTTTCAGTTGCGTCACTTACAGGGGCAGCAGGACACACCAACCTCAGGGAGATGTGCTGTACTTTTAGCTCTTCTTCATCTCCTTCTCTGCAGCACCAACACCATGCTATTTTTTCCAGGTACAAACTCATTCTACAGAAGACATCAGGTGTCTGAAAGCACCCAGTGAGCAGTACACACCTTCAAACTGTGAGGCAGAGCATTCTAAGCCTGCTGATCCTCAACACTTTGCATGCTGGAACTGTTCAAAAGCATCAGATGAGAGCACATGGCTGCAAAACACAGGAAAGTGATGGTTTACACATTGCTTTGTGGCCATGGCCAGCTGCTGCAGATCATTTCTCATCCATCTGCTGCAGACTTTTTTTTTTATTTTTTGAACAGTGGAAGAGGAATTTGTACAGTTCCTAAAAAGCATCCTGCTTGCACCGCAGTAAGGTTATATCCCATAAGCAAAATGACACTGCAAACAATCAACAGCTCCTAATGCTTGCCTGCTGTTAGAAGAAGACTATTTTACCTTTACATAAAGGTCTCCAGGGAGTTTAAGCTTTTTCTTTTTAGAGGAAAAAAAAAACAACACCAAAACTCACTATATTTGATCTGGTTTTAAGCTTTCTTGGCCCCCACTTCTTTTTACCATCCTTCCTCTAGTAGGCTTCGATCAAACATTAAAAAAGTCTTCCATGTGACTTGAATGGTCAGGTCAGAACTCACCTCATTGCTCTTAAGCACACTGTAAAATCTGAAGACAAATCATAGAAGTCTTCAGCCATGTAAGTTTCTCCACTGTCAGTTGTGCAAGACAACAAAGAATAGAAATTGCACGCCGACTCCTGAGTCACAGGGGATCTCACACTCCCTTGGTACATTATGACTCAGAGTTATGGTGTTTGGTTTTTTGTTGGTTTGTTTTTTGAGGAAAGATCTGTCCTTTATGCTAGGATAAATTAGGGTAGCATGCATGTAGCCTTGCACTTCATTGGCCACCGTCAGGCAAAACAGAAGACAAGATTTATACTCACACAGGCCCTCCCTAAAAGATGGGATCCACTATCAAAACTGAACATCCACCCCTAAGCATTATGACAGAGGTTGCCATACCAGGGCCTATTGTAAAAATAAAGAACTCATCAGTTCTCTAAGCCCTAGGCAGTTTCTAAAAGAGCTTTAAAAAGTGCTGACAGCTGGTAATTGTCTATTGCTCCAAAATGAGATGAAAGTAAAACGCCTTTATTGCAGCTTGCTCTAAGATGTGGTTCTGTTTTATGGCAGGGTTTGTCCCACCAACCAAGCAAATTCTTCTCACTTGTCACTTGCTAGCATGAAACTACTGTCATCTACAAGAAGTTCTGGAGAAGCCTTTCACCTCCAGCAACAAAGAAAGGATAATTACCAAATGGTCTCTGTCATAGAATCATTCAGGTTGGAAAAGACCTCTAAGATCATCTGATCTTCCACTGACCACCAATGCTGACCAGTCCCTTAGTGACCACGTTGCACATCTCCACATTTCTGGAACACCTCCAGCAATGCGGACTCCCCCACCTCCCTGGGCAGCTGTGCTACTGCAGCACTGCTCTTTTGGAGAAGCTTTTCGTAATACACAACCTGAATCTTCCCTGGCACAATGTAAGGCCATTCCTTCTCATCTTATCAAGTCTTGTATCTCAGAACCATTTTTCCTTCTGCAATCTCCCAAAATGTGAGGAAACAGATCAAACAGAGTTACTTGGAAAATTCAAGTTACCAGAATAAGAAATGAACTCAGCAAAGAGTCCAATTTCTTCCCTAACTGTCTCCACTGTCCCTTGCAGCAATTAAACCCAGGTGCATTAGAAAAGGGGGGAAATTGCACGAAGTAACACAACAGCTGGGGAGCCTTCAGTTTGAGGGGGATCACAGACACGTGGTGCAAACCAGAGAAATTATGGTCCTTGAGAACATCTCCAACTATAAGAGACGACTAAAAATACCGAGCTTCATGAAGGAAGTACTTTTAGGCACCTGTACTGCCTCTGGCAAACAAGGAAGAATTATCCCAGCACAAACACAAGCGCTATCCGCAGCGGACCGTACCACCACCGTGCACAGCAGCACAAGAACGCGGAAAATAAGTTCGCTACGTACAAAAACTCACTGATTAGAACGAGGCGGGACCCCAGTGACAGCCGTCGGTGACACGGCCGCACCCCCCGGCTCCGGCTGCCCGCTCCATGCGGCCCCGCAGCCCGGCGGGCGGCTCGCCGCGTCGGGACGGAGTCAGACAAGCGTCGCCGGAGCGCGTTTAGTAATGTTGCGGAAGGGGAGGGCGGGGGTTGCTCCGGGTTGCCGGAGACGCGCCACGCAGCCGCCAGGATGCCCGCTGCCGTGAAAGGATCGTTTGTTTCTACCGTGGAAACGTTAAGAGTTTCCGGGAACGCCGCTGACTTCGGGGAAAGGACGGAACCGCCGCCGTCCCGGCTCCCCCCGCCGCACGTCCCGCAGGCGGCAGGCAGTGCTGCGCTCCGGGCAGCCCGCGGCCATGTGGCCGAGCCCGGCACGGGGCGGCGGCGGCGGCGGTCCTCGGTCCTCGTCCCTCAGGCCCCGCCGCCGCCGCCGCCGCCCGCTTCACCTCCTCCCTCCCCCGCCGCACTCACCTGCGCTCCGCGCCCCCCGCCCGCTCCGCTCGGGGCCCTGCGGCGGCTCCGCCAGCGCTTCGGCACCGACTGCCCTCGGGAGCCCGCGCCGCGCCGCTAGTGAGCATGTCCGAGCGCCGGGCATGCGGAGTGCGGGCCGGGCGGGGTGGCTGCGGCCCTGCCCCCGCCCTCACCTGCCGTCAGCCGCGGCCCTCCCCGCACCTCCGCCCTCCCCGACCCGCAGGCGCGGCGGCTCCGCCCGAGGGAGGAACGGCTCGTGCCGCCGACGTTGTTCGGGACAACGGCATCCCCCCGCTAAGCCTTGCTCCCGCATCGACTCGCGATCCCGTCGCTTAAAACGACAGGAGCACCTGTTTGGTCCAGACGCACGGCAGATAAAAAGCTCAGACGCCGATGCTAACTGTACCGTTCCCTCCTCGCCGCTGGCTGCCTGGGGGAAGCACCCGGAGCCTATCTTTGTGACGAGGCCAAAGGGCGAGCTCAGCTCTGGAGCGAAGGCAAGAATCTCTGGCAGGTCGGTGAGACAAGGAGCAGCTCGGTGCAGCTCCCAGGCACGTTACCTTTTGGAGGATCTATACTCAGGATCCACAGCATTTCCTAACAGGGCAAAGCACCCTGAGCTCAAATGCACATCCCATTCTGCAACAGCTCAAAGCATCTCCAGTACAAGTTTCCCTTTGTTTTAAAGCTCAGTACATCGGAAGCCACTTTGCTCTGCAGCACCAACAGTATTTAAACACTGAGCGCCGTTCTCAAAGTAGCAAATTACAGTTTTATGGACTGTTAATGAGTATTGAAGGCTTTTTAGAAAGCTGAACTAATAGCTTTTCTCTCTATGATGTCTCCCCCAGGATTCTGGCACTTGTTATTCAGAGTGAGGTTTAAAGAAACAGCTCCCTCTGGGAATGACAAGTCTGTCCAGCCAGTGTCCTCTACCATCACTGCATGTCAGTGAGTGTCATTCTGGGACCATTTACTGGAAGCCAAAGAATAGCAGAATCGCTGCCATCTTATCTCATCTCAACAAGGCAGAGCTCTCAGGTTTTTCTGAAGTGAGATGACTACCTAACAATTGTGCAATCTGCACAGTAAATGTCTTAGCTAATTTTCAGATCGAGTTTCAGATTACTTGCTAGAAAGACAATGCTCGGAAACAAGAGCAATATGCACAGATGTGTACTTCAGTATGTGCTGGCTCTGCTCTGAGCAGTCTGCTACCACAACTGAAGACATATTAAGCACTTTATAAGTACCTATGACAAAGAGATACAAATACAGTTGCATTTAAGTATAAATGTTGGTTATTCACCTCAAAGAAAGCATAATAAGTGACACTATTAACCACGATCAGTAATTGTCTTTTTGAGTGCAGAAAATGAAACTTTGACAACAAGACGCCGCCTGGCATTTCACTGGAATCCAGCAGCATGGACAGCCAATACTAAAGAGAAATTAACACTTGTGAAAACCAGCTTTTTTTTTTTTTTTTTCCCCCATTAGTATTTCTCAATTCAGGACAGCCTTACTAAGTTGTTTAGCACACAACTAGCCATGCAAGAAAAGAGCAGAGAATAAAAAAGCAGGCTTACAGTCTTATGTTCTCTGTTGCGATTAACCACGCGGATAATTTCTCCTGTAGGAATACATTCAATTTGCAGTTCCATCTTTCCAAGGTAAGTTAGCAAGAAGAAAACCTCAACTAGCTGCAGTCTTTGCTTGAGAGCCCTGTTTTGAGAGGAAGAGATGAATCTCTGTATTTATACTATGTGTAGGTGTGAGCTGAAACAATTAAGTTCAAGACTTGTTTCCACTAGTTACAATGTGTGGAGACAGTTCCAAGAAACATAAATTTATGTTCGTGTTTATTGCTCTAAACTTTGTTGATGTTCCAGTTCTGTCCCAGTGACTTTGGGAAGCCAAGCTGCTGCAGATGCCATTTCATAGGTATTAGCATGAAACAATAATATGGTAAACTTTATAAATGAACCAAGAAATCTTATGGAGAAAAGATTCTTCATCTTCAGCTCTACAATATTTGGTTTCTAGTAGATAGAAAATACTGATGATTCCCATGGTAACTACAGGAAGTTCTTCAAATTACTCTGGAATGAAATCATTATTAACTGAATCCTCAAGTCACTAACTAAGCAGGACAAAGGAAACCAGCTTGCACGGTACTACAGAAAAAATCCCACAGCAAATTTAACAAAAATAAGCTGGTAAATACTATTTGAAGTACAGTCACAGCTCTTTACTACAGCTGTATCACTCATTAATGTAGCATCTAGATGTATGCACCCATAATCCACTCCCAGATGCAGATATCCTGACAATGACAACAGAGAATAAAACACTGGTTTGAACATCAGGTATTTCAAGTCTTGCTATTATGGAACAATTCCTTCAATCTTTTCTGGAGAGCCAAACTTGACTTTTCAACTCTCTAGATGAATTTCAGAGGATGCTGCTTCAAGAACAGACACAACAAAGAACTTAATGAAAAGAAATGGCCTGTCACTGTTCTGTCTTTCATATCTGGAATCATTCTTACGCTGGCCTTTGCTGTTATATAGGAGACTGCCCCAGTCCAAAAATCATTTCCTGGACCACTTACTTTCCAATAAAACGTTTCACTGAAAAAGTGATTTTATCACATTAAAAAAGAAAGCAAGCATCTCTGACACTTCCCCAAACAAAACTACTCCTGTGAGCATGGAGCAATACCTTGTCTGTTTTATCTACCCTTCGTGCAGGGGGACATTACAAAGATTAATGGTCTAGGACACGAAGATTATTTAACTGGAATGATTTGAGACACAGATGCCAGAATTCTGTATAAAAACAAACAACACACACCTAGGAGTTGGCTACAAGGGAGAACAAGATCTAAAGAAGGTCAGATGAAGCAGAAAGGGACTGAAAAAATATACAGAAAAGGGAAAAGAGGAATATAGAGTGGTTTCCACCAAGGCCAAGAGCTGCACTTTAAAACTATGTTTAATGCCTGTAACTGATAACTTTCAGTTTTGATCCATTTATGGTTAACATGCTAAAATATTTACTATATTTTCCTTTTTGTGATACAAGTTCTTGTCTTCTGAACTGTCCCTGCATCCCTTATTTCCTCTCACCAATTTGTGTTCCAAGATCTCATACTTCCTCTCTCTTCACTGTTTTCCTCCACTGATTCTTCCAACCTGTGTTCCAAATGCTCCCACATGGGTTCTCTCGCTACCTTCTACATTGCACGTCTGAGATGTTCTCATTTTTTTAATTGCAGTGACCTTGTGAGAGGAAGAAGACTTCCATTATAATAGGAAAGGTAGGATGTATGCATTCATATGTTGTCTTTCTTAACTTGAAATCACTGAACAAACTCTGAATAGTTCCCCTGAAAGCTCAGTTTCCAGAATAACTAAACACAATGTGTATGGTACAGATTAATTAGGTGCTGAGTGTCATTGCCTTGGTTAAATAAAGCAGCCACACAAAGAATAGCTTACTCTGCATGCTGTATGACACACAACTCTCTGAGTTTGCCACTGAAAAAAAGAGTTAAAGAATAAGATGAAAGAAAGCTGTACAAATAGAAAATTGGCCTCAAACACTTCCACCTTCATAAAAAAAAAATATCTTTTCCCCATTCTCTTTCAAGGTAAATATAAAGAAAAAAAGAGGCATAAGGAAACATGGATATTATCAGCTTAATGTATGAGTTACAGAGTTCAATAATATTGGTGCTCCTGCTTTGACAGGTACCAGCAAGTTTGGATGATCTCAATATCACGTTGTTACCAAAGAACTTCAATCACTTTCCAATAGCAGATCCCTCCAGCTGAGGACAGAAAAAAACACTGGAAATACTCGTTAGAAATGCAGTTCTCAGAAAGGGTATCATTTCCTCTCTCAAGGAAAGCCGAATCTGAGCTTTGTTCAGTTGGCCTTTCAACCACAGTACATTAAGACAAGTTCATCCGAGTGTCACTCAGCATCCAAGAGCAGAGAAGGAAGTCGTGGTAGGAGAAACAATAGTCTTTATCAAAGGGTATTTTTAGGGTCTAACAAACACGCAAGACATCTTCGAAATATTTCCTGTTTACCCTGAGCTGTTCTACTATCTGTGTGCAGTGATACACTGCATATCCTGAGGGGAGCTACAAATCACACAGACTGAAGTGAAGTAAGGCTATACTGAGCAACATCCCTTGGTAGACATGTTTCCTATTTTAATTAAAATAAATTCTCCCAGCAAGGAGCTATGAAAAGTTATCCTTGGATGGAAATTATTATAAATATAAAATTATAGCAATTTTACATTAAAAATACAAATGTTGAAACATGAAGAATAATATAACAGATCTTTTACAAAGACAAAAGTCTGAAATTATACAACCTGTGAATAAGTCAATTTAGAAGGATCTACTCCTAAAAGTTAAAACAGCAATTTAAGTGGTTCGAGCATTTTTACAAGGAAAATATCAAAACCTCAGCAATCAAAACCCCAGGGAATAAAGAAGTGAGCTGTAATAGATCTAAAAATGCTTCGTGAGAAGCAGCTGTAATTGATTCCTTCTTTACTTTGTTTCCCCGCAGCAAAACAGCAATTTAATTTTTGTCTTTCACTGTGTCATTCTCAACTATATTTCATTCCACTCCTCCCCACTGGCCTCTTCCAAGAGACCATATACTAAGAGAAACTGTGGAAACAAACATACAACTTACTTTCAACAACTCCATATTTCGCTGCCTCCCATTAGAAGGCCAAAACTGTTTCCAACTTGCTCCTGTATCTACAAGCATAAATCCATAGCTGTAATCACAAGTTGCACTCACACAAACAAGGACAGTATTTGTCTTTGGCCTTCTTTTTCAGTCCAAAGCCCTACTGGATGTATTACTGAAGTACTACTGTACGTGAACATTAAACATCAGCAAAATATCTTGGAGAAAGACTACCACGCATAGAATTCATTCTCCCCACCCAAACCAATGACTTTGTTCTCAAATTAATTGAGGCCACATAGAACATTTCACTGCCAGGATTTATTTTAGTCGTACATGAAAAGAAAACACATGAGTATAAAAACATTTCCAGTGGTTATAACATCCAATCAAAGGTGCTTTAAAAAAAGATAAATTTTGCTAGAAATTGCATCATTACAGGTCATGGAATAATCTGAAAAGCTACCATAGGTAACAGTAATAAACAAAACTGCTACTGTGTGCACAATACTTAAGAAAGAAGTGAGTGGCTCTGTGCAGCATCCTACTGACAGACAAGAAGATTCAATCACAGCAGCTGAGGGCATTTTCAGTCAAGTCCTGTGGTGTGCAAAGGATTAGTTTACAAAATGCAGCTTCTCTCCAGTGACTGAGAGTTACCAGCTCTCATACAACATTAGGAGCTTGGGTTTCTTGCCCATGTAAAGCGGCTGCATGGCTCCGCCTCTGTGCTGCTCATGAATGGAAGATGCACCCTGATTAGAAGAAACTGGATCTTGGTCCACAATAAATCACCAGCTGTGGTCTGGAATTCAAAGACCACAGTTCTTTGAGCTCTCCACGGGATTCTCCTTGCATAGAGTCTCAGTATTATGGTTACACAAGCAAAAAAATCAGAAAGAGTATCAACCCAAACCCGCATCTTACTTGCACTTCAGTAGGGATTTGTCTGATGCTGTAATTGCCATAGAAAGTCGCATATTTGCGAAATTTAGTGCAAAACAAATTTTTTTTAGATCTGCTACAAACGTGAAAACGGTTTCTAACATTGTTCCAAAGTGTAACAGGAATGTACAAATTGTAAACCTTAAGGCAGTTTTAATCCATGCAATCAACACTGTACTTCTGAACCTGCCCTGATCATTACAACTGGAAATAGTTTCCAATACCAAGCATTACACAGAGATGCAACTAAAACTTACAGAGGCTAGGTGCTCTTAATCCCCAAACTACAGCAATCTAGCTCGTTTACTCATCTTACAGCTTCCAAAGCACACAAAGACTCTGGGATAGCAGAAGATAGTGAATAACAGAAGCAATTGCAAAATAATTTTCACATCAAGGTATTCATTTTCCCTCTCAGAAAAGAGTCCTAACAAAAAGAACTAAGACTTTTTAAGAAAGAGTGTAAAATAGTATCCATTCAGTTCTGAAGCAATACTCCAAAATACACACACCAGCATCCTTTGCTTCACTGTTCCATTTGAACCGAATTTCCTCTTTTCCACCCCTAACTAACAAGACAGTGATTAGCAGCTACCTGTACTTACCATGCACAGCAGTTCAAAGCTGTGTACCCAGAAAATGAGAGACTAACAAGTGCTCTGAGATTCTGTGGAATATTGGTGTGCCTTCTATCCTTCCCAAAGATCCCTATTTCCTCATCAACAAACACAAACTGCTTTTCTCAACAGTACTTGGTCTTTTTCTTTCTATTTCCATCCTTAAGTGCACAGGATACATTCACATCTAAGCACCAATAAGAAAACCAATTTCGCAGCCTGTTATCATTTGGAGTTTAACAATTTTTTGTCAGCACAGATTATGCCATAAGGAAGAACTTACTCCACTGAAATTTCCCATTCACATAAGCTCCGCAGTGTGTGCAGCAGAAGTGTGTCAGAAGTGTATCAGGGAAGAACCAAAATATGACTTAGGCTTTCTAAATGCGACAGCAGAGAAGAGTCAGGGTTAGTGTGATGTTCAGCAGCTCTGCCAACAAATGCTTCATGAACTATGATCTGCTCACCTCTGCTGAAGCATTTCTCAACTGAAGCAATTTCAGAAATTTCGGGAACCTGCTAACCCTGAGGCAGGGACAAATGTAAAAGTATTTTTACATTACCTTTTTAAAATCAGAGGGAGGAAAAGAACAGGCAAACTGTTGAATTGTTTTGTAAAAGAAGAAGTGGCCCCTCACAAGCAAACCCACACAAAAGGTGTGTTTTGATAAATATATCTCAATCTGGAAAAATTAAAAATGAAAAACCCCAGTATCAATAAGGCATAAAGAAAAGGGATCTACTACAGAAGGAAAACATTCATCCTCCAAATATTGAGTTGTTGTATGACTTGTTACCACATGTGTTTCCCAAAAGGTAATTAGTTTACATTTAAAAGTCAAATAAAAATTTAAAATAAACTAGCTAGCCATATCTAATAAATAACTTTTAAATAACTTCATTTCAACTCAAAAATTGGAAATCAGTGATTAAGCAGTTATAGCTTAGGGAATATATTATATTGTAAATAAAATATCCTCTACAAAAATAAAAATAGGCCTAAAAACCTATTACAGTATGTAGCTTGCTTAGGATAAGCACTGGATTAAAAACATCTTAAATCACACAGCATTCACTAGGTGCTATTTGTACAGTTCCTATTCACTGCAAGAGTTACTTTCACTGTAACAGTAAAAAATACCTGCATCCACAACTAATTTTCATCTATGAGCTTATGCAGTTTCCAAACAGCCCTACCTGTCTCACTTGCACTGTTACTCCATCTTCTAAGAGTAAAAGCTTATAATCGTTAAGACATTAAGAATCGTCTGACTCCTGAATCAGGACCACTAAATGTCCCTTCTGACTTCAGAACTCATTGTGAGATTCCAGATTGTCAGCTTTTTGCATCCA